CTTCCATCCTTCCGAGGTGGGTAAAATGAGGACCCAGACTGTGGGGGCGATACGCTGACTCTGTAAACCGATAAGAGAGGGCCGAAAGCCCTATGAAGCAGTATATAAGTCGAACTGCTATTGCTATACTTACTTCCAAGTAAAGTGCGTTTTGTAAGAATACGAATGAATTCTTGGGATGTGATTAGTCTTTTCAGTTCTCCAGATAGAAACAGGAATAGGATGAGAACTTCTAATGACAGCTTTGTGCCTCCATTGTCCAACTATTAGGATTCAGGGAAAAAAATACTTCCAGTCCAGAGGTGGACGCCTACCTGTTTGGCCCAGTTTATCCAAACCGGTAGTGACATGCCGGCTTGAATCGCAGTACCCGCAGCCACCCAGGCTGGACACGCGTCTGAACCGGTTCCCAGTTGCCACCGTCGCTGGCACCATTTTTTTTCTCTGTGCACATGCACAGAACAATTTCTATTGAACTGCACTTGCGCGCATAAGGCACATTCAACATGTGCGCATGAAGCGTGCGCATAAGCAAACTGGCAGTAACTCCAGCCAGAACCCACCCTTGTTCCAGTCATATTCTCTGATAATTTTACATGGTTTAGAATAATCAAAATCTTTGATTTGCTAAATTTGCCACCTTTGTCATAGTGACATCTAAGTCTTAATGCAGTTCTTTCTCCCTGTATACAGATAATCCTACAATAATTTATTTAGTGATTGTTTAAAGTTAAACGGCACTGACCATTTTTCATACTTATGACCATTGTGGCATCTCCGTGGTCAAATTCAGACACTTGACAACTGGTTCATATTTATGGGGGTTGCAGTGTCTCAGAGTCATGTGATTTCCTTTTGCTGCCTTCTGAAAAGCAAAATCAATGGGGAGAAGCCAGATTCACTTAACGACCATGTTACCAACTGCAGCGATTCATTTAACAAATGTGGCAGGGAAGGTCATTAAATGGGGCAAAATTCACTTAACGAATGTCTCACTTAGCAACAGAAATTTTGGGCTCAATTGTGGATATACGTTGAGGACTAGTTGAGTAGTCTACTTCTGATTGTCCATAATGCATAAACTTTTAAAATTTAGCTGTATCAGCCTCTAAGTCCTTCACAACCTCTGTTAGTCTGGTTTCTTGTAGATTTTGCTTAGACTGATGCTGGAACAAAATGTAGATCAATGCCTGAACCTCTTCTTTTATAGGGATTGAAGCTGCTCCATTGAAGAAAGTCTCTTCAAAAAGTCGTAGAGTAAAAGAAAAGTCAGAGGACCCAAGTGCCAACCAGGAATCAAATTCAGGTAAACTGTTGAACATTTCTGATTTGCTGTTATGGCCTAGAGGTGGAGTTCTCACCTCACAATCAGGAGGTTGTGAGTTCCATCCTAGGTAGAGGCAGATGTAGGGTTTCCTGCTTGGGCAGGGGGTTGGACTAGATGACCCTTCCAACTCTTGACTAGGTCCCTTCCAACTCTGTTAATCTGAATACTGTAAAAAGCTCGTGCAAGAGATTTGCAACAGCGTGATTCTTAATGGTGTTGCGAGTAGACCCAAAGGGCTGCCATACCTGTTTTGGGAATGATCTGTTTGTTGCAGCAGATATTCTTGTAGATAATAGCTGATTTTGAAGGGGTCCTTGGTGCTCACTGAACTTGCTTGTTTTCTTGCAGACATTTCATTATCCAAACTAGGTAACATCATCAGTGTTAAGCGATGAGTGGGGTTTGCTCTCAGTTTATATTTTAGTGGCTTGGTCGAAGGGGCCTTGGAGATTCATTGGTTGGACTGTTTACTATTAGCTTATTTGGCAGTTCCTTGGTTGAAGTACTGTCTATTTCTTGATTGTTTGTCTGATATTAATCTTGGAGATTTTATCAGATATGATAAAGATTTTACCTGATTTTATCAGATATGATAAAGAAATAATGCCAAAACATTAAGGCATGGAAGAAGACATCAGCTAGGTGTTGACCACTATTCAGTCTGAGCAAACTGCAGGACAGTCCATTATTTTTTATATTAATCTTCTATAGACCAATTTTTCTATTTGCCTTTCACATTACAGCATGTTCTTGAGAAGTTCCAAAAAATGCAGTAATAGCATTTTATGGGTGAGAGTATGATTCTGCACCCCAAATAACTTCCTTCATATTGATCTCTGCAGAAGGGCTATGATTAGGGCACAGAATAAAGAGACGGTGACATATTCATTCGTTCGTTTGTTCTTTCATTCGTTCACTCACTCACTCAACAAATCTATATAGCACTCTATCCAAGGAATCTGAGGTTGCTTTTCCATCCTGTTCTTTCAACTTTTCTATTCTGAAACAGTTGCTTTGGCTGTTTGTCTCACTGCCCATTCTAGTTTCTTAGACATGTACACAGGATGAAAACAGTCCCAAAAGTGCTTTTTCAGGAAGCAACTAGACTTTCTTGTTTTCTCTTTTGAAGACATTTTGCTTCTCATCCAAGAAGCTTTTTCAGCTCTGACAGTCGTTGAAGCACTTGGAGGTTTATCTGTGTCCCCAGGGTCACCTAAATAGTGCTTCTAGTTCCTGTAGTCTGCAATTTTTCCTCTGGAAATCCAATCCTACTCCCATACCATTCAAAGGGTGTTCATCCCAAAACACAGAGAAACCTCGGAGTGCTTCAACAACCCTCTAAAAGGATGCAGATGACCAGCTGTCTGCAAGGAATATAAATCCTTCCATTCCCCACTATCCAGTCAGAGTTGAAGAAGCTTCTTGGATGAGAAGCTAAACATCTTCAGAAGAAAAAACAAGAAAGTCCAGTTGCCTCCTGAAAAAGTACCTTTGGGACAACCATGACCTGGATGACTGAGAATCTCTACAGACTTTTAGGATGAAAAGGGCAAGATATTTGTGTAAAAGATTGGAAAGTAGCTGTTTAGAAACTATTGGAGAATACCAAAATAGAGTATGTGGGAGGGGAGGAGGTTTAATAGGGTAGTATTTTTTTAAAGGAAAAATATACTCTTATTTTTTTACTTCAGATTTGCCACCTCCTACACAACTGGAAAACTATCAGGAGAGGAAATTCCAGAATACAAAGCCTGAACAGCCTGAACCAAGCCAAGAGATACGCAACATTATTAAAACCCACAAGAAACGTCCAATTCCACCACCAAAACCTATCATGCCTGCTAGGTAAGAGATGTGCCAAGTTGATCAAAGATCTCCCTTGGTGGTTGAAGTTGCAGAAAGAAAAGATTCAGGCCACTCTTAGAACTTCCCTCACTTTGAGGGAAGGAGGAAAGTCTGTTAATGTGTGAGTTGGTCATTGACAAAATATTTGTCTCCAAATTTCTTGCATAAATGACTAACCATCTTGTCACAGGATTCCCTTCCTACCATAGGAACAGCCATAGAGCTTTTGTATCTACATATGTAAGAGAACTTCTATAAACAAGTCTCTATGGTTAGGCCTTTTGTTGTGCACAATCCATGGTGGTCCACCCAACAGGTCATGTCATCTTAGCTGGTTTTTGTTTAATTGCAGAGACGTCTCTAAATCTCTTACAAAAGGTGAGCCAAAGGAGGAAGCTTTAGCAAAACTGGAGGCTCTAGGATTGGATCATCCATCGGTGAGTGTTTGATGGGCTACCTTCAATCTAGTGTAGAGAAGGAAATGTCCTATCAAAATCTGCAGACTTAAATTTCCAGTCAGCTCATAGTACTCACTGGGAAGCTTTGAATAATTCACCTTTTCTTTACCCAGCCTGTGGATAAAAATCAGATAAACCTATATCTGCCACTGAAGGAAAAATATAAAATATAACTTATTTTCATAACATATGAAAACAGCACGTAACCTATATGGCTGTAGTTATCACCACTCAGTCAATGGAAATGCCGTGTCTGTTCTCTGGATGGAACTCAATCTTCTGAAAATAATTTTCATAGCCTGAACCAAGAGATATCATGATTTGACCTAGAGATAAGGCACCGCTAACTCTATTTAGATGCTGTTAAAAGCTACTACTAATAAACTGTTAATAACATTTATAATGTTTGTTCCATTTAAATCATCCTAGTAAGTCCATCTGTAAAGGTCTATCAAATGAAATGAGCAAATGAAATGCCAATTGTCTTGAGTAACTTAGAAGATTTCCACCAGAAAGCTTCCATCTTACATTCTTATTTGCTTTTTATATTGCATGTTGTTGTCAAAGACTAACTTGCTAGCTGTGTGATGTGAATGAGATGCTAATCATATGTGAGTGACATATGGCCATGGCTGAACTGAGCCCTTGCTCTTCCTTTCTGCTCCCCCATCCCAGGTCTCCTCTGAAAAAATTAAGTCCTCACCACCTTTACCACCAGTCAAACCCTCCAATACCATCAAAGAAAAACAATTGTCACTCAGAAGTGTTTTTGGTCCTGAAGGCTTGGTGCTTCCTCCTCCCCCTCCTGGCCCACCCCCTTCTTTTCCTCCAGATTCTGTCACAGATGAAACAACTGGCACGAAAGGTAAGCAAACCCTCTCTGATCCTGTAGACTTTGTTTGGCACATCTGCCATTGATTAAGTTAGGAAGTAGCCATCATTCCAGAGGGAGTGCCTTTCCTAGGGAAATAGTGGTAAGCATTTTGGGTGTAACTCTGGACACATTTATTTTACAAAACTAATTGAATTTGGCTAAAGCTATGCAATATAGCCTGGTCTTCATTATGTTTCATAAGTAGCATAATTTTATAGCACAGAAGTAAAACTGTAAGGGGGATGCAGTAGCAACGTTCTGCACTATTTTGAATTTATTATTTGCACAAATTATTTTAGTTCACCTTTTGGGTTTATATAATATTGTACCAGGAGCAAAAATAAAAAAGGTTGAATATTGAGTATTTATTTATTATGAAATTTATTTGCCACCAATCTCATGTCAAATGACATTTTTTTCTTTATTACTTTAAATTGAATTATTACAGTGGAAGTCTTTCAGTGAAGGGCACTCTGTGCATTTATTATAGCAGGCAATGGTTTATGGGTCCACGATTGGTTTTGTTTTATGTAGGTAGTTTTAAATCTGCTCATAGATACTGTGAGGAAGGTAGCTGGGAGCCAGAATCTTTACTGAAATTCCATTTTAAGAGGAGATGCTATTTTGTTTTGAACTTGAGAATGCCCTTGTAGGTCAAGAAGATCTCAGAGATATTTCAAAATATTCTCAGTTGCTTTGAGGATAACTTTAAAAAAAACAACCTATACAAAGTAGAATGCTACATTCCCTTCTTTTTCTGTTTCTTTCAGACGTAGATTCGACTAAGATACTGTTGGAAGACGCTAATGTCAAAACCCAGCTCTTCAATCTTTCTGCTAGTGTCAGTTTCTCCTATGCTAACCCTATCTGGAAACTCTTCCTGCGGAAAGAGGTGTGTCATGGTCCCACCTTCTTGCATGGTTATCCTGGTCATGTTTAGCTACTAAAATTAGCAATCACATCTCTCTGTAGTGACAGCATCTCCCACAGTTTGGGCACTTGGTGGCTAATCCTCTTGCAGCCCCCATTCTGCAAAATGTGTCTGGATAATTTCAGTGCCTTCTGTCCTGTATGCTTATTCTGGATGGTCGTTTTAGGATTATTATGAACACTGGGATGGATGATGTGGGTTAAGAGCTGTGGTGGTGCAGGGGTTAGAGTGCAGTACTGCAGGCTACTTCTGCTAACTGCCGACTGCCAGCTTCTGGCAATTTGGCAGTTCGAATCTCACCAGGCTCAAGGTTGACACAGCCTTCCATCCTTCCGAGGTGGGTAAAATGAGAACCCAGATTGATGGGGGCAATAGGCTGACTGTAAACCACTTAGAGGGGACTGTAAAGCACTTTGAAAGTGGTATGTATGTCTAAGTGCTATTGCTATTGTATCATTGGTAGCAATCAATTGTGGAGAGTTGGGATGGATCTAATGTTTAAGGCTCTGGGCTAGAAACCATGGAACTCTGAGTTCTATTCCTACTTTGGGGGTGAAAGAGGGCAGGGTGACCTGGGGCCACTCGGTCTCTCTCAACCCAACTCATCTCACAGGGCTGTTGTTGTGAGGAAAATAGGAGGAGGAAGGAGTATTAGGTATGTTTGCCACCCTGAGTTATTTATAAAAATAATAAAAATTGGATTTAAAAAAATCTTTAAAAATGGGGTCAGGACAATGACTCTGTGGAAAGGTGAGTGGCCCATTAACTTGATAAATAAAAATAATAAATAATAAAAAGTGGTAAACCTTTCTACCGGTTATTAGTGTGAAAGCATATACCATAATAATTGACTCACTGTGATGGAGATTAGTATAGATTGGTTAGAAGCGACATGTCTGATTGTAGGACTGGCTGGAGAAGAATAACCTTCAAATAGATAGGATGAGTTTAATTACTTTTCCTATGCCATGATAGAGTTTTGTGTTGATAAGCCACTACTCCTGCAAAATGAAATGTATGTTATCCTCACTCAATGAATTGTGTTTGAATATATTAATGTACAGAATCATTTGCTATTTTGAGTCATGATTTTATTTTGCATATGTGAAAACAACTTTGTGTTGGATCTCTTCCTCAATAGGTGTTTTATCCCAGGGAAAATTTCAGTCATCCTTACTGCTTGAATCTGTTATGTGACCAGGTAAGTATTTTGTGTGTGTGTGTGTGTGTGTGTGTGTGTGTGTGAGAGAGAGAGAGAGAGAGAGAGAGAGAGACAGAGAGAGACAGAGAGACAGAGAGACAGAGAGAGAGACAGAGAGAGACAGAGAGAGAGACAGAGAGAGACAGAGACAGAGAGAGAGAGAGACAGAGAGACTGAGAGACAGAGACAGACAGAGAGAAAGAGAGAGACAGAGATAGAGAGAGACAGAGGCAGAGAGAGACAGAGAGAACGTGTGTCTGAAAGATAAGAGAGATTCACTTTTCTTTTCGTCATCAGCCTTTTCATCCCAAGACTCCATCTTTTATTTTTTTTCTTTATTACGTTTTGTCTTTTTCAAAGAATATACCTGGTTTACTCCATATGCTCTGTTTCAAAGCTTGACACTTGCATTATAAGTCTTATGAGTTGAATTGAAATCCATTTTTTTTCCTTCCCAGATCTTGAGAGATACTTACTCCGAGTCATGCATTCGAATTTCCAAAGAGGAGAGGCGCAAAATGAAAGACTTGTTAAGTAAGGAAGCCATGTGTCCTTCCTGGTCTTCAAGTATCTTAGAGGCATGAACTTTTCATCTAAAACTGAAGAATTGTTTTCCATCTTTTTATTCACTAGAGTTATGGGAACTGTTATATGTTTAACCATCTTCTGCCTTCACAATCTGTTACTGAACCCACTGAAGACTCTCCTGCTAAGACAAATAACCCATTTCTAAATGTTCCTCACTCAGTGATAAATGTACTTAGGGATTGAAATAATTAGCAGCATTGTGTCAGATGAATTTCTGCTCAATCCCAAGGTCCAGATGTTCAGGGCTCTCAATCCATTCAATAACACGAGGCAACCCAGCATCTCCCTTCCTTTGGAAGACAGAACTGCCAATGGCACATAGCTTATTTCCACCCCAGGAGCCAGCTTCTTGTTTTGGATACCTTGGAGGGCATTATTGCTCAGCATCACTTCCATCAAAAGAAGATTCATCTGCCAATCTAGCTGCTTTCTGGGCATGGAATGGCAACATGGCATTGTTTTTCTTCCATTTGGGCAATAAAATCTGTTTCCTGCTAATTATTCTTCAGCATCCCCACTCCAGAGAGATTGGGAAGAGGTAGCACTGCTATGCATAACCCAAAGAGATCCTGATCCAGAAGTATAAAAATCCAGGGTGCTTTCTGCTAGCCATTTTACATGCACATGTCCCAAACCTACTTGATCCAACCTAATCTCACTGCAATTATATATGATAAAGACTTGTTATGCATTCCTACTTCTTCCAAAAGGAAAAAAATGTCTCAGAGCAGTGCTATCGGGATTTGTTTCTTTGAGGTGAATTTGCACTAGAGTTTTGAAATGTCTGCTTGCTTTATTTGCAAAGATGAGTGGAAGCAAACAAGCACTTCTAAAAGGCAGGAAACAGTATGGGTAGCCCTCTGAAATTGCACCCACAGTTTCACTTAGAAACTTGCATTTCTTTCTTCTCCCTTCGGCCACAAAATTTGCTTTCTTTCACACATGCATGTTTCCTTCTGCTGGACCAGAGGTGGTATTCAGCAGGTTCTGATCAGTTCTGGAGAACTGGTAGTGGAAATTTTGAGTAGTTCAGAGAGCTGGTAAATACCACCTCTGACTGGCCCCACCCCATCTATTCTCTGCCTCCCGAGTCCCAGCTGATTGCAAGGGAATGGGGATTTTGCAATAACCTTCCCCTGGAGTGGGGAAGGAATAGAGATTTTACAGTGTCCTTCCCCTGCCATGCCCACCAAGCCACGCCCACCAAGCCATGCCACGCCCACAGAACCAGTAGTAAAAAAAATTGAATCCCACCACTGTGCTGGACCTATTCCAGATTCTGATGGCTTCTCATTCAAAAAGGAGGAGAGATTCTCAAGTCCCATTACTATCCCCCAAATCCCCCTTAATAAAATATAAGCAAAAGCTTTAACTTATTAAAACAACCTATTTAATGCAAATTAATGATCTATTACCAGCTCCAACAGAAGGCTCTCTAACGCTGGCTGCAGAACATCAGCTCCCTGCTTGTAAGCTATCCTTGGAAACAGTGCACTCTTTGATGTGTTTCCCAAGTGTGCTAAAGTCATCTCTGTAGCTTGCTTCCATCAGGGGAAATGATCCAAAATCTGAGTCTGCTGATTAAACTTTTCCTTTGTTTTGTTGCCATCAGCCGAATTCCATGTGGGCATGGATGTCAGCTCCATCACAGAGGAAGGGATCAAGAAAAGAATAGTGGTGGCTGCGCGTGATAACTGGGCCAGCTATTTCTCTCGCCTTTTCCCAGTAAAAGTAAGTTTGCCTACCTCAGCCTTCCATAACGTGACCATCCTGTTATGTCCTTCCACTAAGATTTAGGGACTACTATCCCCTCAGGGCTTCAGCTATTATGGGCAAATCAATAACAGGTCAGCCCTTTTGGCTAGGCTGTCTGCTACGTAAAGGTTGCCTGTGCAATGAAGGCTGACATTGTTGAAAACTGACCATGAGTAGGTAGGCTGTGTGAATTGGTAGCTAGTTAGGCCACAGCAGGGTTAAGTAGACCACACCAGGAAGTTTTCAGCCACTGTGTTTAAACCAGTCTCCAGATCATAATACAATTTGTTTGTTTGTTATTCTCTCTATTTTTTATCATCTCAAGGCAGCGTTCATACCTAACCCTCCCACCCCCTAATTTCCTCACAACTTTGTGAGGTGGGTCAAACTGAGAGAGAATGACTGGCCCAAAGTACCCACCCACCACCACCACCTGGATTTCTTGCCTAAAAGAGAACTAGACCTCAAGGTCTGTAGCCCGGCACTTTAGCCACAACACCACACTGTCATTTTTATTATTTAATTGGATTTAGCCCTTATGCTAAGTTCTACTTTATTTAAGTATAGTTTATAGACTAAAGGATTACTGGTTGGGTTTCCCCTGTACTGCTCAGCCAAGCCAGATAGGCAATTTTTTTTTCCACCTGGAATTTTCTCTTGTCCCATCATCTCATTTAATCTGGATAAGTAAAACTGCAAAACTCAGAATGAAAATAGGTAAGGATTTGTGTGTGTGTGCGCACGCGCGTGCTAAGGACAGTGTTGTCAGGGGGAATAATAATTTGTCAAGGGTAGACCTGACCTGCCTCTTCTGTGTTCCTCTTTCTTCTGGCCCAGTGGCCTGGAACAGAGCAAGAGGCTGCAGTTTTTCATCCATCAAACATTTAATCCAAAGAGCCCAGCTAAAGCAACTGCTCATCCTCTGACAAAAATTTCCCTGCTGCTTGAGCAAACCATGGGAAGATTTTGTCAACCATTTTGTTGTTGCTGCTGTCTGTTCCCTTTCTGATAGGGAGAAAATGGAAGCGATGTCCAGATACTGGGCGTTTCTCACAGGGGCCTGCAGCTGTTGAAGAAATCCAAAGAAGCCACTTTCAGTTCTGAACATCTGAAAGTCCTTTGCAGCTTCAGGTGAGAGCAAACAAAACCCACTATAGAACTGTTTTCTAAATTCATGAGGGAGGCCGTTGCCTCCTTGCCAGTGGAATGCTAAAAACTAGCAAACCTGGCAAAGAGATGGATAGACACATGCTGAGTGTGGATGTAGCAAATAATGCAGGTGCTTGTTGGAGAACATCAACTGACTCCACTTGGTGAAAAACTCCTTTATAACCTGAATTTGCACAGCACATCAATTCCCAACACACGTCCGAAAACATCTGGCTTTTTACAGTTATACTGAATCTTTTCATTTCTTCTTTTTTTTATTCCTTAACCTATGAGACTTCATGCTCGTGAGCAGGGCCTGTTTTAGTCCCCTGCATTACTTAACCTTTCAATAAATGTTATATACTTTCGTTTGATAAACCAAAAGAGAATACATACATAGAAATATACGTATTCAATTTTAAAAAATTCAAATGTTCCCATATTCCCAATGAAACACAAAACAAAGCAAGTTTTGCTTTGCTTTGATCTTCACATTCAACTCATGTTTGATTCATTGTCTGAATCATTTTGAATTTTTCAAACAGCTTTTTTTTCCCCGTGTTGTAGCGCCACCTGGTCTAGACTGCATTGGGGCAGATTAAAGAGATCAGCAAGTACAGGTTTAGAAGTTGATCAAAAGGGACAGCAGAGGACCCCTGTCTTTTGTACTTTTTGTGCTAGTAAGTTTCTTATAATTTCAGATATCATTTGAGAGTTCAGAAGCCATGTCCTAACAAAAATTATCCCAATAGGCTTAGTAAAGGTAAAGGTTCCCCTTGCACATATGTGTTAGTCGTTCCTGACTCTAGGGGGTGGTACTCATCTACATTTCAAAGCTGAAGAGCCAGCGTTACCCAAAAATATCTCCGTGGTCATGTGGCCAGCATGACTAAATGCCAAAGGCACACGGAACGCTGTTACCTTCCCACCAAAGGTGGTCCCTATTTTTTTATTTGCATTTTTTGTGTGCTTTCAAACTGCTAGGTTGGCAGAAGCTGGGACAAGTAACGGGAGCTCACTCTGTTACGCAGCGCTAGGGATTCAAATGGCCGAACTGCCAACAACTCTTAGCCACTGAGCCACCATATCCCCTAGGCTTAGTAAAGTAGGTGCTAAAGAACTTATCCAAGAATGAAAGCCAAACAAGTCAGAGAATTCATGTTCATGTTGAATTTTTCAGTTATGCAGATGTTCTTTCTCTGGAGCTGATCAGTCGGAATGTCCTTCAGTTCTCTCTGAAGAACGAGCAGCTCATCCTTCATTCTCAAAAAGCTCAGCAGATCAAGGCTACAGTGGAAGTCTTCCTGAAAGAACTGAAACAGGTAAAAGCAAGTGCCTGGTGCAAGCCACGAATCCTTATAGGTAGGCTGATTTTAGAGTGATTGTACAGGTAACCCATCTAAAGCACTGAGCGCAAAGGTAAGCATTTTAACATCAACCTATTTCCCCAAATACAGATAGTCTTCGACTTACAACCACAATTGAGCCCAACATTTATGTTGTTAAATGAGGCATTTGTTAAGTGAGTTTTGCCCCATTTTATGACCTTTCTTGCCACAGGTGTTAAGTGAATCATTGTAGCTGATAAGTTAGTATCATGTTAAATGAATCTGCCCCATCCCACACTGATTTTGTTTGTCAAAAGGTGGCAAAAGATGATCACATGACCTTGGGACACAGTAATGGTCATAAGTATGAACCAGTTGCCAAGGGTATGAATTTTGATCACATGATCATAGGGATACTGCAAAGGTTGTAAATGTGAAAAATGACTGTAAGTCACTTTCTTCAGTGCTGTTGTAACTTTGAATGGTCACTAAATGAACTGTTGTAAGTTGAGGACCACCGATAATTTCAACCCTTTGCCTCTGTTTTTCCTCTCCCGGTCCTTCCGAAAGGATTCCAACTATGTCATTGCTATGCGTAACTACGTGACAGATGACAAGAGCCTCTTAAATTTCAAGAAAAGTGACTTCATTCGACTTCTTCCCATGAAGGGGCTGGAGCCAGGTGAGAAAGATTAAGTCCAATGTATCCTCTCTCAGCCTCAAAATATTCCTTGTCAAGAGTGAAACAGCTGTTTCAAAGACTGCCAACTGCAGTATCTGCTTTTGAGCATTTTGGAATTGTTTCATGCTCAAAACAGATCTCTTATGTCCTTCTGAGCCAGCAATGTACCTTTTCAGCATCGAGTGCACGGAAATATCACATGCACGCTCGTTGGGGCCACACTCTGGAAAAGCTGAACTTCTGGGTTCTGGCATGCCTGATGATCCTGGTGCCTGGTGCGCATGCGCATGCGGGTTTTCGGCACTGCCGCGTGTGTGAAAGGATAACGCTCCGGAAAAGCTGAACTTCCAGGTTCTGGCATGCATGCGCACCCAACAATCAGGTGGCCGGCACATATGCGCACACCAGTTTTCAACACTGCCCCACACACAAAGGACAGCTGATCATCGCGCGTGCATGTATGCCAGAAACCCAGAAGACAAACAGGCAAGACCGTGCATGCCATGGCTTCACATGCCACTTTGGACACGCGTGCCATAGGTTCACCATCACGGTTCTGAGCTCACAAACGCAATATATTCAAAAGACTGCCCCTTGCCCTGCTGTCTCACATTCAAAACAAGGCGTTTCAAGCTCAAAAAACAGGATGTTCCAAATTCCAATATGGCTGCATTTGTTGAGAGTTCTCACACATTACTGAATACTTTAGTAATGTGTATGTATGTCAGGAACTCAATTCTGTGAAATCATTCAGCCACAAATAACTAATATCAAGAGTCCATAATGACAGCACACCCACACACCCACACACACTAATGCTTCGATCAGACAAGCTAATTTTTGTGGCACAGTTCTCAATAGATATGCTGATTAAAATATTCTGGGGAGTTTCAAACTCACAAACCAGTAGCCTATTCAGATTTGGAGAGGCTGCCCTATGTCTAATACATCGCAAAGACAATGTAAGTTAAAGTTGGCCAGCCTAATTTCCATCTTTTCTGTTCAGGTTGGCAGTTTGGCTCTATTGGTGGGCGCTCTGGCCTTTTCCCTGCTGGAATGGTGCAGGTGGTGGCAGCTCCCGATTACCTCAACCTCCACATGAATCAACAGGAAGAAGTCCGAACCGTCTGGAAGAAAAACACCCAGGAGAAAATGGTTATCGAGGAGGTGAGGGTTGAAGCAGAGGCCGAGGGGATTAGTCATGCAAGAAAGTGAAGGGAGGATACTATGGTGTTGCTGAAGAAATGCAAACCACAGAGACTGCAAAGTATGAAGACAATGCAAGAGATGGAATATGAATATCACAGGATGAATTTTTTTCAGTACCAAGAGTAGCAGTTCTCTGATGACTGGTTTTCTGTCTCTTCAGAAGTCTGCCTCCAGCACAGAGTCAGAAGTTTCCAGGACCAGCACACCTATAAACTCTGTTGATATTTGCCACTACCCTATGACGGAGTTTGCGGTGGCACATTTCCGAGAAGCCAGACTCATGTAGGTATTCTGTAGCACAAAAACCCCTTCAAACATACGCTATTGCAATCTATTTAATTTCAGTTTAATTGCTGGCTGTGCCCACTTTGTATTTCTTACGTTATGACGACATGGGAAAAGATTCTTCGTTTGATGAATGTAACCTTGTTCATACGTGCTGTGTGCAAATATATTCAGACATTATCTAGGTCAGGGGTCACCAAACTTTCGGACCTCAGGGACCACTAAATTCATAATTTTAAATTCTGTGGACCACTAATACGAATTAGTGATGGGACGGGAACTTTCAGGCACTTACTTTGGCCATCTGTTAGCAGAGAGAAGCACCTGGAGTCAACCCTAGGTTTGCTGTCCTTTGCAGCTAGGAATCTCAAATACAGCGAAGAATTAATGTTTGTATTGTAGCCAGCCCAGGCACTAGGTCGGCTCCCTGCAAACTCTGCCAAAGTTTTTCGCACCGCTCACTGAAGCACCTGGACTCCCAGGGAGGGAGGGCAGGAAGGGCTGGAGCTACTAAAAAGGCAGCCAAGCTAAGTGCCTGAAGGACCCCATCCTGTCAGTGAGTGGGAGTAATTGCTTCAGCGAGCCATTTCCAGCCAAGGGACTGCAGTTTGAGGATCCCTGATTTAGTGCAATATAAAAAATGCAAAAATGCAAAGATTTTTCTGCCGACCATGGGCCACCAGTTGGTGACCACTGATCTAGGTGATGTTAATTAATTTCTTGTGTTAATGAAAAAATGGTGTATAAATAGGTTAAACAAACCACTAAATAATACTCTGGGACTGTCTTTCCATTTCCTTTATCCACGCAGAGAGGATCTGCTCCTTGTGGAAAACCCTTTTGTTTCCCACTGTCAAGTTTTTTTGGGCATGGTTCCCCCCCCTCCAAACCTTTTCCAGGTGTACACTTTTGAGATCACTTGTTTCTCAGTGTTTTAAGGCACATAGAAGTAGTTGAACCTTCACTAATGCCTCAGACACTGCCATTCTGAATTATATTTTCATTCATGATACACACTGTGGAAAAATAAAGGAGATATCAGACAGCTAAATAAAGAACATGCAAAGGAAAAAGTCCTTCTAGCACTTTTATTCCTATCCAGATAGCTTGAAGAAACTGTTCTATTACTTGCAAATAAGGCATATTTTTCATAACCAACTGGCAACTGAAATCTCACATCTTTTGCGACCTTCATGGGATCAACTACATTATCAACCACATAACTACATTATGAGATGCAGTTGTTTGAGGGCAGTATTGCAGGCTACTTCTGCTGACTGCCAGCTGACTGCAATTTGGTAGATCGAATCTCACCAAGCTCAAGGTTGACTCAGCTGAGGTGGGTAAGATGAGGACCCAGATTGTTGGGGACAATAGGATGATTCTGTAAACCACCTAGAGAGAGCTGTAAAAGCACTGTGAAGCGGTATATAAGTCTAAGTGCTATTGCTATGGCTATCAAGGATAGATGCTATATCAGTCATATAAAAA